CCCAAGAGATAGCGAATGCGCAGCACTTGTTGCCATGATGACACGCGCCGCCTCGAGATGGCCATCGCCAAGCCCACACCTGACGACACGCGCCGCCTCGACACGGCCGTCGGCCACCTGCGCGGCTGAGGAACGCCAGCGGCGTTGTCGCATCTCCATTGACTGCCTCTTGTGTCGTAATTATCATGGCAGCTATTTTACATCAATATATGTGTTTGGTTCTTGAATGAGGTCTTGGCATTTGTGTTTGATTGGTTTACGGTACAAGAAGGGTATACAAGTCACCTTGCCTCGAATGAGAAGTACGCTGCAGCATCTCCTCGTGCATTACACAGTCGTCGAGAAGATGTTTGGGCGACGCGGTGCGGATGTCACTGATAGCCAGGCCCATGAAAACGACTTGGCTGAGAATGAGTCCCAACTTTCATTTCCACCGGCTGAATCAGCGCAACCATACTACTGCGAGACTGTGACAGGAAGCGAGGGCTGCGTCGTCTTTCTGCTGCCACTATCTCCTCGCCTTCTTCAACGAGAAACACCCGAGCCTTGCCTCCCACGAATCTAACACGTGACTACATGTGCGAATTCCGCGTCAAATCGACGTCCGTGTAGCGCCAACGCATGCAGTTCTCGTCGATGCAAGGACTCAATTCCCCAATCTAGTACTGAGCCGTACCTTGCGAGCGTACAGAAGTGTTTCACGCGCTTGCAACTCAGTCGCCGCTCAGAGATAGATTTGCTTCAATGATGTCCAAAATCATCGCCATCTGCACTACCGACCAGATCGTTGGAACCTCCTACAGCTAAGCGCGTTACAGTGTGTCGAGTGCCCTTGTTTCCTAGATACTGCGGCGCGTTGCGGTTGCCATTCGACGCCGGCGGGTCACTCGCCTCTGTGGTTCAGTCCACCTTACCCGATGATTGATGGCGGGCAGAACTCGCGAAGCAGTAGAGAGCTGTGAAGCATGTAAGTAAGCGGGTAAGAGGGTGCTTCTCGAGGATTGCATGAGTTTGTTGTGGTGTGCGGGTTGACTATATGCTGATGGGCGTGCGGATTGGAACTCTGCGAAAAGGACGAAGAATAGCTGCCACGTGCGGCCACAGGGGCCAATGAAATCCCCGCCAGAAATATACCGATCGTGGTTCGGTTCAATATCTCATTGCTGGCCTTTTTACGACGCTAATGGCCGAGAAATGAATGGTTAATGGCACGAACCCCTGCACCGCGCGAAGACAACGGGGGGTGCTGTGTTATGAGGTTGTGCCTAGGTAGCAAACGATACACAATGCTTCCATTTCCATTGCGGAGCGTCTCTCGGGCGCAGTTTGACACCGACCGATCGATTCCCCTTCTCAATGGCGTGCAGCTCGTGCGGCTCACATCACCTTTCCAACTTCAACATATGGATCGATCCCCCTCCTTTTTGGTTACAGGTGCTATCAAGTCTGTGAGTCTGACCACCAAGCTTCACCTCCAACACCTTCGATATGCTAGCGAGCACGAGAAAGAAGTTGACAATAGTTATGCACTAGTAGGACGCATCAAATAGACACGGACCGCATCATATGAGCAACGCTAG